TTGTGCCTCATCGGACATTTATGATCTCTGTTTTGAAATAAAAGTTGTGCCTCATCGGACATTTATGAGAGAAAATCCCTAATGTCCGAGTGCAAGTGAATGCAGCACAAGACGCAAGTCTTGTAACCCCTCCCCATACTTGCCAACCTTGAGACCTCAGAAATTGGGAGCATTTTAAAACCACCGCGGGGGGGGGGGGGGGGGGTCGCAGGGCCGGCCCTCGGCATAGGCAGTATAGGCGAATGCTAAGGGCGCATCAACCGTTAGGGGGCGCCGGAAAAAAAAAAAAAAAAAAGTTAGAAATTAAAAATAATTTTTTTTTTTTTTTCATATACACAATTTCCTGATTTTGGATCAACAAAGTACATCTTATTATCTTATACTAACAGAACTACGCGTACAGTGCCCATAAACTATGGCACATCCCCCCCCAAATCAAGTTGAACTGCCCCAGTCCCAGTAAAAAGGTTATGGTGAAATTGTTCTTTTTTTTTAAATAATGGTTTTAGTGTGCAATTATAGGTTTTTAATTGATTTTGTATTTGTATTTGTATTCATTTAAAATAAATCAAACTCCCAAAAAACATACACAGCTTCTGTGTGCTTTTATTAACATTGGAATTTACATTGTAAGCGGGCCGCGGGGGTGAGAGCTTTAGAGAGCTCTCTCCTGAAAGACTGAGAGGCTCTGATAACCTCAGCTCAGTGAGGTAAAGGCACACCTCTATATGATCATTATAGTTATAAAAAAAATAAGAGAATAGATGAAAAACAGGTATAAAATACTGACAGTACAAAAAAGTTGTTATTAATAAACAAGAATACAGTTTGAAAGGGGAGTGATTTGTAAAATATCCATAAAGAAAAAGAAAATCTGTTTACAGTTCTGTTTTATATGGGTGTTGAGAGATGTATCCATAGATCTCTTCATGTTGCTCTCAAAGTGCACCAGATTGATGCTGTTAACTTCAATATTTTTTTTAAAAAGTCTGGGGGGGGGCGGGGGGCGCCAGCTAAAATCTTGCCTAGGGCGGCAAATTGGTCAGGGCCGGCCCTGGGGGGGGGGGGGGGGGGGGTGCTAGTGGATCGCCGGAGCTGTATTAGATTAACATTAACATGCTTATTGTAGTTGTTAGTGCACTGTCTTGCGGCCTGTAGCATGGAAAGGAGTGAGCAGAGGGTAGAGTTGTCGATTCTTGTTCAGTTTACTGTGACTATCTTCCTCACCCTAATTCCTTCTGTCTACTGTCAGTTGCGCGCGCTACTAAAGAGACGCGCTACCATGGAAACGCGCTACCATGGAAACCAAACAATGGTGTAGCTGTATTAAAGTCCGAGTGGAAACAGTCCTGAGTAAATCTGATTTTGTCAGAAATCGGGAGAAATGCGGGAGAAATATGACCCCGGGAGGAAACTGGTAGAGGGCAATGAAATCGGGAGTCCTCCCGCGAATATCGGGAGTGTTGCAAGTATGCCCCTCCCCCCGGCCCTGGCGCGAGCGTGGAAATATGATTGGCGGGCGATTTTATTTGAAACAGGACGGTGCAAAAACGAGAAGCATTCGGACAGTCTGATTCGGACCCAAGTAGACGGAAGGAATTAGGTATTTGCGGTCTACAATTACAGAGAAGAGACTGTCAAGTTTGGCTGTACTCAGCATTGAATCAAAACGCACTAAAGCTTTGGGATCTTAATAGGTTTGTGAGGTGTTTTGCCTCAAAATGGTAATCGCCACATTCAGTGGCATGCCAACTTGATGCTCTGCTCACAGATGAGCATAAACAAACTGTTAAGATGATGACCTTGTATGTGTGTGTATATATATGTTTTCTTTGTGGGGGTCTACCCCTAAGGTCTGCCCCCAAAAATAGTTTTAAATCCTGATAAAGTAAAATAAGACGGTGTGTAAAACTACAACTGCCCAGCCAAAAAAAAAAGTAACCAGTGCACTTTGATTTAACTAGGCCAGTAGGTAAGGTCTTTCCACTGGATAATAACTGCAGCGATGTATATGTTTTAGCTGTATACACGTTTTTTTAAACCCTAATTGATGCAGTTAGTCACTTCTTTAATGTTTGTTTTTTCTGATGTAAAGTCAAGGTTGTAACTGTTTGCAGTAAAGTCGTGGGGCGCTGAACTGTTCTTTTGATTCTTTTGAATGTTGATATATATGATAATTTGTCTTTCAAATATTAAGGAGGGTGAGCAGCATCTTGGGGAACATTCATCATTAACTCCTCCAAAAAATATAGTTTATTCAATAATAAATGAATATGTGAATCATAACAGTGATTGACAGCTGATAGGAATAATATGATTGTTAATATTATCATTAATTCAGACAACATCGATGAGACAGTTAATTCATCTACTTATTGCAACAGTCTGTGCATATATTTGGTACCCTGCTGGTCTAAGTGTGAAACAAACTCATTCAGTTATTGTTCAGTTTAAAATTCATTAAATTATGTCTGCCACCTTTATTTATATTTAAGGCTTACTGATATGCCACAATAATGTATCCAGATGTTATTGAGTTAAACTATAAATAGTGTGGCTTTCCAAGTTAAGATAGATTGATATGACTGCGATTTAAATCAGCATATACTTCTGCCAGGGGATGCCAACCGCTCAAAATCCTCCTGCAAACCCTCTTGCCACCCCATGAATATTTTTCTAGATCTGCCCCGGATGGAGGGAGTAAATACAGCGGCAAGCTTTGGGACAAACTCGCCTCTCTCCGGCAGAAACAGGAAATGCCGTAACATAACAACGGTTTCAAATCAGCATCTCTTAGACAACATTTTTAAATTAATAACTAAAATAAAACTCCAAACATCTTTTAATTGTGTTACTTTTTTGTAAAGCTCTTTTAGTTTTAAACCTGATTTTTATAAGCTTCTTAGTTTGTGCAACAGTCTTTAAATATACACACACTTTATAATAAAATGCACGCATTTACCTTTTTCTAGACTAAACGATCCTAAGTTTAAAAAACATGAGGTTGAGGTGTTAACATCGCAATTTATCAGTGGATGTTTGCTGGAACTACTTGTAAACAGCGGTGTTTCCTGACGGACACACAACAGCGTTGAGACCGGTCAAGTAGAGACCGGTCTCCAGTCAGCACCGATGTAGCCTCGCTGTTTGAATGGCTTGATAACCCACTCCCCCCCTCCACCCGCTCCACACTCGTTGGTTTGGAACAGCACTGTGGCGGACCCTGTGCGCGAACGCGCAAACGGAGGGGTAGTGACTGTGTAGGGGTAGGGTTGTAAGGCGTGGTTTGGGATTGGTCCTTCATTTATGAAAATATGTAATAATTTATGAAGGCTTCGGAACAGAAACATAACATTCAAACTCGTTAAAAGGAAAGGCTAGAATCGGCATCTCCATACATTTACCTCAAATTTCCACCATATTTATGATGTTGTTGGTAGTGTTGTGTGTGTGTGTGTTGTGTTGTGGGTGTGTGTGGTGTGGGTGTGTGTGTGTGTGGTGTGGGGTGTGGGTGTGTGTGTGTGTGTGTGTGTGTGGTGTGTGTGTGTGCGTGCGTATGTGTGTGTGTGTGCATGCTTGTATGCTTATATGATTGTGTGTGTGTGTGCGCGTTAAAATGTCATTTTGCTTGTTTGTTTATAGGCCTATCTGTGTATGTGTGATGTGTGTGCATTTATGTATTTTTCTACTACTCTGTGTGAAAATATAAATAAATACCTTGGACGGGTGTGTTGCAGTGTAATCTGCTCCCAGCAGGCTGGATTCCCACTGTGAGAAAGACAGTATATTGTTCCATGCAGCACCACAGATAACAACTCATTAGCATACTGAATCATTTGGGCTGCAAGAGCCACTCTGCCACCCATCTGCACTGAGCTGATAAACACACACCAACGCCTGCTCCCTCTCTCTTACACACACCACACACACACACACACACACACACACCACACACACACACTCACACACACACACACACACACACCACACACACACACACACACACACACACACACACTACACACAGCCACACCACACTACACAAACATACACAATATACTATTCCGAGCAAGCACATAGACACTTACACAACCTGCTCACACACACACACGCCTCTCTCATCCCTTTGCTGTTCAATCCCTCATTTTACACTCCTGTATTCCTCTCTTTTTGTGAGCCTGTGTGTTTCTGGAGAGTCAGGAAAGTTGAAGCAGGTAAATGTTTGGCAGGCATTACCCAGAGGGCCCTCAGAGGCGTCCCGGCAGTGCCAGAAGCAGAGCGCAGGAGGGGTCCCCAAACACCTGGATGTGTCTGATGCTCTCTGGAAGCAAATGTAGTGTCTTCTAAATGTCTAAGAGCTGAAGCTGTTGCGGTGGTAGCAAAGTCTGCAGTGTGGAGTTATGGAATGTAGGGAAGAAGACTTCAGAAAAGTAGAAATTATGTGGCAGAGCTACAAAAGCTAATTCCTTTTTTAATGGCCGCAGGTTGGTAAACCTAACTTTTTCGACTGCTTAAGTGAATAACTTTCAGGGAATGTGAGTCCTGAGCTGTTTCACAATGTGGACAGACACAACGGCATGCAAACGAGTGCAGCATAGGCTTTCAAAACCACTTTCACAATGGCAGGATATCCTGCAGGTCACGGAGCCACGTTAACCTCAGCAGGAAGTCGTCACTTGTTGAGAGGAAGTGAGGATTCCAGCCTCCATTGGGGGAGTTTCGAGAGGCGGTTGTGGTTTAACTATGCACTTTCTAAAGGATGTGAAACGCTGCAAGGTATGCAATGCCAATGATGCCCTATAGGAATTTGACAATTAGGTAATGCAATCACAAGTGTAAAATAGTAAATAGTAAAAACAGGCCCCTATATGTCCAGTTATTTGTACAGTCAAGACATTTAATAGAATTACATTTAACTAAACTTGCTTTAAATTAATTGTATTAAATGACATTAATTGAATTAAACTGATTTAATTAATAATACCGACAACATGCTCAAGTGACATCAAATACAAGGCTTTGTGCAGGCTCCTCTGCATGTTTTATTCAGGGGTTTTATATAAAATTCATCGATTTAACATTGGATATATTTATAGATACAGCTATCATACAACAAATATTTCATAACCAAACGCACAATGTCCCTTTACTGCAATTCATAAAATACCATAGTTACCAAGGTACCAATATAGGCTACTAGGTCCTGCTAAAAAAGCAGAATAACCAACACAGTGAGCAATACCTAACTGTATTAATCCAAAACTGCTGGTGTTGGTTATGATATTAACACTGTGTGTGGTGTATGTGCGTGCATGTGCGTGTGTGTGTGGTTGTGTGCGTCTCTGCATGTGACTGTATGTGAAATGCGACAATGAAGGGATTTGTTTGTGTACCTTACTAAACTACAACTGCATAACAGTTAAAAAAACACTGAAACATTCATATCAAAAGCACTGCATGAGTCATTTCATGATGTTAGGACTCATATTTTGTACACTTTAAGAAACACTGCATGTCTTGGTACCTCCGCAAATTCAAATAGATATATTCAACCCGGCAGTGAAAATGTTTAACTGTCTGTCGCCGTATTTGGTGTCATTTTCTCCTCACCAAAGTGTAACAGAAATAAAGGGTACCACATTTGATGTACTACGTGCAGTTGCTTGCTTTACATTTTGAGTTTCTCTCCTCTTTCCCTTCCCCGCTTCATGTCTCCCAAAAGACCATTTTGCTAGTAAACCCATTGACAAACACACTACGGTACATCTTAAACCACATGAATTGAACCTCCACTCACCGTTGTTACATTGTGCAGTGGAAATATAATGCTATTTACAATACATACGTTACTGCATGGGTACAATAAAGTCCAGACTGTTCATTTACGGCCTAAAACTGAGACAAACTTACTTTTCTGTCTTATTCCAACACATTCAATTTGTTGGGCATGAATGAGGTTTATTCATTGATGTTTTAGAGCTATTTACCTGTCCACACCATATTGTAATCAATAGTATCGTTCGTGAAGCATTGTTCCAAACTTCAATACAACACATAAAATATATTATATATAAGTGTTTCTTAGCTGATCTTCTGTTTGGTTAGTTTTGTTTGTTTGTTCTTCTTTTTTGTTTTTTTGTTTATTTTAGAATATCCTTTATTGGACTTTCAAAACACAGAGTCATAATCAGCAAGTCGGTCGAAGACATGAGACATGCAGAATTTACAAGTCTTTCTTTGATCAAATTCAACCGATCACCAATAAAAACATCAATGCTGCCTCGGATAGTATTGAGACGGGATGTGTTCCACTTTCTCCCTAACGTGGCACTTGATTCTCTTTCCTACACTGACAACTCAAAGCTATCGGGTCCTGAGCATATGCACCTCTTTCTTAGTCCCTGTTATTTCAGTCTCAGGTGTTGTATTCTGTTTTCTTTTGGAATAAGCATCATCGGCGACTAGAGCCATCTGAAGGGCGGCCATTGCGCCTCAGATCTCTAGCAGCTAGATGCAGCGCAGGCCCACGAGAAGCCGATAGAGTCCTTGGAGCTGGAGGCGAGTCCTGGTCCTCCATATAGCTCTCAGGACTTCCCTCGGCATCGCCATCAGGCAGACTTCCACAGCTAGAGCCTGGTGACATTGTCTCCAGAAGATCGTCCCTTGCCAAGCTCACCACCGTGTCCTGATGTGGAACCCCCTGAGGCCCCCTTCAAGTATCCCGACCCCAACCAGCAGCCCTGTTTCTCCATCAGTTGTGCTGCCAACATTTTCTCCCTCCGTCCTGGTCGTCCAGGAGGTTGGAGAGGAAGCTGATGTACTTCATAGCAAGCCGCAGGATCTCATTCTTGCTCAGCTTCTTGTCTGGAGGGTGAGTTGGGATGAGTTTTGCGAAGCTCTGAGAATGCCCCATTTACGTTCTGCTGCCGCCAACGTTCACGGCTGTTAGTGAAGATACGACGTACAATCTTTGGCTGGCCAGCTAACAGAGAAAGCATTGGAAAAAGAGACAGACATAGAGAATTAAAAAAAGAGAGGAAAAGAAAGGCATTGAAAACATAACACACATAAAACAGATAATACTGTGTGTAAAGGCCAAAGCAATATAAGGGCAATAAGAAAAATGGAAGAAGTAGTCGCAGGAAAACAGATTCACCTAAGTTTTGAGAAAAAATGTTTTTGTCTTAAAAATAAGCTACAAAATTGTCATCCCTACGAATTAGAAGGTGATGGAAAGTAGCTATATCTTTGCAAAAAAAAGTATAATATGCAATGTGCCGTATGCCGTTTGGCTTTGTGTGTCAAACCCCGGTAAAGTGTGTTGTGTAGACTTTGTCCTCCATATTCAATTTCGATGTACTTTGAACTTATTTTGGTATGATAAAATACATAATTGCAGGTATAGTCACATCCTCCCGCCCTCTACAATTGTGTCTTTCAGGCTATTGTCACCCTTGGAACACACCCAGTCTATCTTAATCCTTCAGCCCACTCTGCAGTAAAAACCTTGCATGGAGGCAGCAGCACCCCCATCCTCCACCCCTGTATGTGGCAGTGAGTGGGCAGCGATGGAAAGGATATTTCAAATGAAATAAACTCCAAATCCGCCTGAAAATAGCTTCCTTTGATGGCATGCAGGTACATGTATTTGACATTAAGATTAACAGCATTCATTTATGTCATGAATTATGGTTTTATGGATTTATTTCTCCTGGTTAAACGCTTATTTAGTGGCAGGCACCTTCTACAACACTCAGATTAGTTACAGTATAGATCAATGTCAGTGGATGAATGACAATGGGGGATGAAGAAGGGATATAGGAGACTTGGACACAGCAAAGTCCATTTTACCATACTTATAAAGATCTAAAAAATGTGCTTACCCTCGTCGAGTTCAACCTCATAGGGCGCCGGGCGCCGCTTTAACCCTGTTGCTGGGGTACATGCTGTACTGCTCCGTCTCCCTCCAAGACTACAGCAACAGAAAGCAGACAAAAAAAAGTCAAAATGTATGTGAACAAAACATGAATGTACATTATATTCATCATTGCATTTAATCCTCAACAACCCCCACTCCTTGCACCAGGGGGCACACATGCACTCTCAGAAACACGTACACCCATGTATGGGATTATTATTTCTGTCATTAATGATGAAGAAATGTCAATATAATGTACACATAAGCATATTTTCACTTTAAAAGCCTATTCCTGCAGGGCCATAGGACTGCAATAGGCCAGTCATGGTGCCCTCACAAGGATCGAATAGAAATGTGCATTCATGAAACTAAATTAGCCTATTTTTCATTTTCTGTCTCAACCTTTACCTGTTGATGGCGGCGAGAGGCTGCGCCAGGTTGTAGAGCATCGCCCGGGGCCGGGACAGGAAAACGCGTTTGGGCTCAGTTTGGACCATTCGAGCGTCGTCTCGTTGCGGCAGCGGCAGCGGTGGAGGTCTGCGAAGTTCCGTGATCGGCACCAAATGGCTCTCAGTCCTAAACTCCAGCGCTTTTATAGCGTCCCTCCTGGAGAGCTCGATCACCGGCACTTCCCTTTTCAGGTCAAGGGCGTTGTGAGAGGCAGTTTCCTTGGCAACGCCGTTGATAATGATGCTGATGCTGTTCCCGTTGCTCGAGTTCTGCAGAGGAACGTCATCCGTCTCTTCAGCCCCCTTCAGGTTCCCTCCCCTCTCTTTCTCCCCCTCCTCCCTCCTCGGCTCCTCTTCCTCCTTGCACCCGTTTTATTCTGGAGATGATGGAGGAGTCCTCCTCCCGTTTTCCAGGTCCGGACACTGCATCAGGACTTCCAGGACGAAGCTCCGGCTGCCGTTTTTTCCATCATTTGTTACCGTCACCACTCGCTCGAGTCCACTACGTCCTAAATAAGATTGTCCTCCATTAAGTTATTGACACAGTGGTTCAGTCTTAATATACCAAATATATAACCAGGCTTACTAAAAGCCTATAGGAATTAATTATTTTCATTTGTATTATTGGCGTTTATTTTAATGTTTTTATTACCATCATTATTCGAATTGCAGACTTTACATAACGAACAAAACAATTAAGAAAGAAAATCAATATTATGTAAGCCTTGTACAATGTCTCGTAATTAGGCCTACCACACTATGTTCAACACTTAAAAAAGGTCAAAGTAATAATAAAAAAAGAAAAGGCCGATTGCAACTCAAATTAAAAAAAAAGAGTTTTTTATTATTAATTCTCGAGTATTATATTATGTGTAAGCTATGAAGATTCGAGAGATTTCTGTTCTCTAAATATGTTGCGATGTGAAACATTCCTTATAGGCTCATTGTGAAATGTCACCAGTCAAACATTTTATCATAGATGTGGAGCCCGTGTACTTTATTTTAAATAGGCTACATTTGTTATTTGTTGTTTCTGTAGTGCATGTTTTTGATGTATCTATTCATCTCTAATTGTTGGCTCTTACTCGTTAAGATAATACCTTAATGTAGCCTATAAACCAAGGTTTGAGCCCTGCGTAAAGTCTAATATGAAAAGCTAATTACGGTTGTTCTTTATTTTAAGGTGAACTTCTCGTCTTAATGACAACCTACATGCCAGGACCACGAATAGAGCTCGGTGTCCATTCCTCGTCGATATCAAATCCCACCTTTTTGGTTTTCAGCAATCCACAGATAACCTTCAAAAATACTTCAACTTGATCGTTTTCTATAGCTACACATGTCAGAGTCGGTGGTGTTATATGTCATTATAGCAATAGGCCATAATGCTGTTGTTGTTGTTGTAAAGCCGCAAAAGCGTGTCAGATTGATTACACTAAACAACAGTGTAAATTGTTTTAATGGCTAATTAAAAATATAAAGATGTGGGAAATAATACTGGAAACGAACAACAGACCGCTACAAAAAGCGCACTTTTATTTCTGGGAATTCTCCAATAGGCCTCGCATCCGTTATTAGCCTACATCCCGTAGCTACAGTCTCCAACATACGATCGGACAATAGCAGAAAATGTAGGCTAAATATTCCGAATATAACATCGATAAATTCCGACGATAACCATCAAATTATAGCCGTAGGGAACAACGAATAACCTGGTTTAAATACAGAGGTGTATTTTTTGCACTTACCGTTCTAGCCGTGTTGTTGATGTTACTGTGTAAGTGGAGCCATTTTGTGAGTGGGTCATCCATGTCTGAGGTTTTTCTTTTTTTTCCACCAGTGCTGGAGCAGTGTGTGTGTGTGTGTGTGCGTGTGTGTGTGTGTGTGTGTGTGTGTGTGTGTGTGTGTGTGTGTGTGTGTGTGTGTGTGTGTGTGTGTGTGGTGTGTGTGTGTGTGTGTGTGTGTGTGTGTGTGTGTGTGTGTGTGTGTGTGTGGTGTGTGTGTGTGGTGTGTGTGTGTGTGTGTGTGTGTGTGTGTGTGTGTGTGTGTGTGGTGTGGTGGCTGAGTATTCCTCGCAGCATCCAGCGCGCTCCCTCAGTATGGGGAGCGGAACACAGGCCGCAATGTGGCCGAGTGAGATAAGCGCACGGCAGCGGCCTCTTCATTCCCGATAAGACACTAAACCCATTATTTATGAAATGATTCATTATTATTTGGCTGTCGCGGGCTATATAGGCTTGTGGAGGGCAAAGCATAAAAAAGCAAACAGGCACAGAGCAACGGCCTGTAACAACGCGGGGTAAACTGTATCCAGAGCTTTAGTGGAGGGTGTTTTATTTTATTTTATGAAAGAAACAAAAGCTCAGGTTAAGCTGTTGACCTATTTTTAATTTCAACAAAGGGTTTTTGCTAAGCCAATTTATCCTGCAATGAGATAACTACCGATAGCAGAGGGTCGTCTCTTTTTTGTTATTTTTTGTTATCCTGAAAAGAGTAGCCTATAATCCATATTAATTTCCTTCGCCTTGAGGCAGGATGTGCTATTGATACAGAATGACGAGGATGTAATTATGATAACGATGCCATAATCGAAAGGGACACACGATTCTTTATCAATTAACAAATCAATACATGTATAAATGTGTGAATAAATAACTTAAGTAAATAAATAAATAAATGTGCTGTTGCATGTCATTGTTGGTGTTGGAGGACTTGGACGGCGGTTCCCCGGGGCCGGGACTCATGGCTGGGGGAGATAAAAGCGTATCGGCCTCTGGACGCGTCAGATAAAAGAGCAGCACGCTATCAGAGCACATTCAGGACAGCTCAAATGGTAGCAGGTACATCCTAATAACGGATTTTTCACATAGCCTTTTTTCACGTTTTGTCAAATACGTGTATGACTTTAAATAATGCCATACATTAGTCAAATAAGCGTGTGACGTGCTAAATATAGAACCCAAGAAACATAATTAGACAGTCTCATGTTACACGTTTTTAAGCCCTGTGTTAGAGCATTATTAGTCACGAACTTTCAACAGATAAACAGCAGTCACGACCATCATCCGGCATCCTGTGCTTAACGCTGTATGGTCTGATTAGCCATTTAAACGTTTTTGTGGACCTCAATTGTGCCATAAGATGTTTGATGATGGGGAGCAATCGGCACTTCTTTGTTCCAATTGGTGATCCTACATTTGCAAATCAATAGGCTACACCTGATTGATTAAATTGAGACTGTGTTAGGTTTTTGGAGTTTCACTTTTGAAATAAAAAAACAAATTGTGTTTATAATTCAACTCGTAATTTAAACATTGATATTATAAGGGTGGTCCCTTATAATATAAATGTTTATTCATTTTTAAACTCTTTTATTTACTTTTAAAGCCCTCAATGGCCTGGCCCCGCCCTACCTCTCTGAGCTGTTACACAGCTACACGCCCACTCGCACTCTCAGGTCAGCTGATCAGTTGCTCCTGAGGGTGCCAAAAACAAAGTCTAAGCGGAGAGGGGACCGTGCTTTCTCTGCTGCCGCCCCTAAACTGTGGAACGACCTGCCCTTGCTCATCAGACAGGCTCCCACACTGACTGCTTTTAAATCTCGTCTTAAAACCCATCTCTTCTCCTTGGCATTCAGAAACAAGTAGATTGTTGCTTTTATTTGCTTTCAGTGGTCTATTGTTTTTTATTATATGGCTGTTATTTATTTTTTAATTATTAAGTTTATTCTGGTTTGTTTTGTGTTTGTATCTTGTATTTTAAATGTATTTATATTATGTTGTGTGAGCTTATCTCTCTGTACAGCACTTTGGTCTGAAGGTTTTTAAAGTGCTATATAAATAAAGTTGGATTGGATTGGATATTACGTTTTATCATAACTGAATAGCATGTGTTTTGTTCATAATTAATGAATGTATTACAAACTTTTGACATAATAAACAATTGAATAAACAAAGAAAACAAGTATAATTTTCCTGAATGATATTAAGTGACGCAGCACAAGTAAAAAAAGAAAAGGAATCCTGCAGAGCCCCAGTGCAATATATTATTTATTTGCAAACTTTTATTTATTAATTAAATAAATAGTTATTAAGTTGAAATGTATCAGGATCCATGATTATACATGTGGTACATCATTCCACAAGTCAATCATCTGCCATCATCAATAAGATTAATAGTAAACATTTAAGTGTGGCACAATATTTGAAACAAAATATTTTCTACACTCATTTAGGGAGTCAAAAATAAATCTCAATTTAAACATAAAAAAGTGAAGTTAAACAATCCCTATTCAGTTATGTCGGACCATAAATAAATAAAAACAGTTGTCCTGGATCTAAATAATATTATATAGTCTTAACATTTTATTAGTATCACAATATATACTCTGGAATACAGGTTATATCTAGTGCAGACCTACTGCATTTATTTGCATAGTCCTTTGGTTATGTTTTTGATTTGTCATTGCAATCCGAGTCCCCTTGCAGTGTCATATTGTATTGAACATGCAACCCTGTAATCTCATGTAGCCTTTTCACACATCAAACTGCACAGAAGAAAACTCTATTCACAGGTTACAGTCAATGGTCAGGGTTTGTAGCGGTGAATTAAAATCCATAGCTGCAGGAGAAATGGCTCTATGCCATGCTTATCTCCCAGTCAGCGCTGGTTGCGTCGGGCCGGCATGATCCGAAGAGAAGCAGTGCTTTCCCGGGTCATGAGCCGCGTCACATGGTCCAGACTGAGGCCAGCAACTGCCTCTCCATTCACCTGCAGAATTTCATCACCGATGCCGAGGAGACCTGTGTAAGGGCCTTCGACACCACCGTCACCCACTTTCTCTACATACACACCTGGAAAGGAAACAATAAGAGGTGAACAGAGAGAAGAAAGACACATAAAATGAAGGTGAAGGAATGGTTGCATAGAGTGAGAATAGAGGAGGTAGAGTAGAGGAAAACAGGTGCAAGCAAAAAAAGTTAACCATACCAAAACAACAAAATTGTAAACATAAAACAGCTTTACTATGAGTAAAAGCATTTGTATCCGAATATGATCAATATAATTATGAAGATTACCAATTGCCAATTTCTAAAAGGTCCATATTTATCTGAACAATGACATATGCAAGATACAGCATATCAAATAAATACAAATAATAACCCTGCAAAACGCCAAATTTAAGAAAGTACAAAGACAATGTAGATTTAAAAAGCTACCTGTGTTGGGTCGACCTTTGCCCCTTGAGATGACAAAACCAAATGGACCATTTGGGGGTCTGACCAGCTCCAGGAGGAGAGTCCCATCAGGGAAAGCCTGGGTGACCCGGCCCACAGGACGCACAATTCTGGAGGCAAGTACATCTTCAGCACTCAGGGCCCTGTGAAACTCGATCTGAGGGCTGTCAGGGCTGTAACAGCAACAATGCAGCTTTAGTCACAGAAAACGAAACGATGTGGTTTGATAATCCATGTTCATTGTATTTTTCTCCTTTATTTGGTTTATGACACTCACCTGGGTGCCAGGCCGTACGGTATCCGCACCTCTCCCAGTATTGTTGAACGTTCTGTTCTCCTCTCCAAACTCTGCACTGAGGAGGCTTTGCGTAGTTGGGCCAGTGGCAGCACCTAGTGGCAAATAAATGGCACTGTAAAACATTGTGTTACTGTTTTTCATATTGGCAAAATGTCTCCGGATCTGCTTTTGGCAATGCAACTTTTTGGCTCTAACAAACCTACAAATCTAACAATGTGTGATTGACACCAAACACACACACATTTTGCAAATACCGTCTATGATTGGATGGTACAGAATGTTGTTTACATTATTTTAATGTATATTTCAGCTGCCAGGAGGACAACAAGGATGGCTGACACAGAAAGTAGGAAACACGGACAACCTGGAATGCATTATCTCTGCTCCCAATATCAGACAGAGAGGTAATACATCAAAGCGTAGGTTGGTCCACTGTGGCAAATAAGCAGTGAAAGGTACTTTAAAGCAGAACTTGGAACTTGTTTTCTGCCTACAGCAACCTTTATGGGGTAAACATTCTTATTTTATCGATGTGAAAAATAAAGGACGATGGCAGAGCAACACAACCGTCCTGAACATCATATGAAGAAGAGTTTGCTTCTCACCGTGTTCAGTGTCTGCAGTGAGGGCGTCCTCTGCATGCGGATGCTGGGCTGGGGTCTGCGCGTGGGGCTTGGGGAAGCAGAGCTGCCCACCCGTGGTGCTGAGGGTAAACTGAGCTGCTCCATGCTGCTGGAGCGGCCTCCTTTCACCAGCCTACCAACACTGTTCAGACCAATGGAGGAGAAGAAGCGACGTAGGAAGAGTTTCGGTCGACCATCCATCTTTCTGTAAAAGGCCAGTCAGACAGACAGACAGACAGACAGACAGATTTTTTTCAACAAGAGTGTAATATGAACACAACATATTTTAATATAGACACAAAGACATCACCAACATAACAAGCCAGGATTGTTGTTCTTTGTTTTATAATTCAGCTCTGAATGACCTTAACAAGCACAGGTCTTCATTACCAGAAGAGGGCAGTATAGTCTTAATGTTCACATAATCATTTTAATAACAACATCCTGTGGACTGTAGGTCAGGGTTTTAATCTCCTAACTGCAACCAGGCTGACATGCTAAATGCATTTTGGAAACAGCATGGGGGGGGCAAGGGGTTTAATATCTAAGCTATGAAGAGCGTTGTTACTTTGGCTTACCTGGAACCGTCACAATTTTCCTCCCATATGGCCTCAGCTTTCAGATGTTCTGCTCTCAGCAGCTCTGCTCTGAGGTCCTCAGCCCGAGACATAGCCAGGCCGCGCAGAGCGGGACGACACTCAGGACCAGAACCAGGCTCACCTGGTGGTACACACAATGTAATTAGTGGATGTCAAATAATCATTTTCCTGTATTATTTTAATTCCATTTTGTTCCATTCTATTCCACTGTCAGTGTTGGATAGTAACTAAGTGAATCCACCTAAGTATGGCACTAAAGTAAAACATTTGAGGTACTTTCTGCTACTTTATACTGTACTGCTGCTTTTCACAGAACAATATTGTAATTTGTATTCCACCTAACTCATTGATTATTATACTTTGAAGATTTACAATTCCAATTTCTTAGGTACTTACTTAGGTATTAATTAATGAAAATATTTTCAAATGTTGATTTATATATCTATATATTTATATATATATATATATATATATATATATATATATATATATATATATATTATAAACACATTTAATCAGGATTAATAATAATCTTATAAAATAATATCTTACCTAATTACTATTATTTTTAAATATTTGAGTACATTTTGCTCATACTTAATTAAGAAATTGAAACATAGTTCTTATTCCTAGAATAGTAAATCCTAAATGGCAGAAAATCAAGTGTACGCGACCTTCCATAGGAACTGAGATCTATCCGCCCTGCTCTTCCCCAATGACCACTCACCTGCTCCATCTGGAGTGGCCTCCCAGAGTTCAACAGCTGGCAGGGCTGCGGAGTACCTCAGGGTGGAGGGTCTGATACAGGGCACTGGGTTGCTTGTGGCAGGGCTCCCTTGGGTTAGAGCCACTGCAGACTGCCCTCTAGCCTCTGTAGGGTCCAGGAGTTCAGAATTCTGTGATCCTCCCTCACCTCCCGGATTTGAAGTAATCTGGAACTGCACAGAGGACTGTCCTGCAGCCGAGCGATTCCTTGAACTCGACTTCAGAGCCGACTTTATAGGCAGTGTTGGGGGAGGAGATTCCCTTAGTCCAGATGCCTCCGGCAAACGGGGCTCCAGAGCGACAGGACTATCAGAGGAAAAAGAAACAGCTCTGCTCACATTGACCCTGTTCCTGGGATTTGAGTTACGCCGCTGAGCCCAAGATGGACCGTAAGGGCCATTGCCAGACTCCAGCCGACTTTCTCCTTTCCTACTCCTTCTCCTAAGTTTCCCAAACCCTGAAGGTTTCCACCCTGTGCTGCTCTCTTTGTTTTCCCCCAGCACGTAAGCTCCGGCAAAAGTGACAGTTAAAGAAGCTTTAGGACGAGTACTTGCTTCTGGCTTGTTATGAGGCACCCAGCGAGGAGCAGCTTTTTCCCGTGTGTCCTCAGACTGTGGGGGCTCAGTGTTCTTTGGATCTGACTGTGATGACATTGGCTGGGGCTCCCTGACCACAGAGCCACATGCCTCACATTTCTTCACCAGCACTATAATCTCTTTAATCACTGTTGTGGGTTCACCACTGAAACCCGCAACTTCTTTCTTCTGTAAAGGAGGCATGGAGACACTCCGATGGCTTTTGTTCCTCTCTGTTCCACTACTGCTAGAATCTGTATTATTTACTTTTTTCTTGGATTTGGGCCCCCCAGATCTGCTGCGCTGTCTCACTCTATCCAGGTACCGAGACTCTGCTTCTTTCTCTGATTCGTCTTCAAAGCGCACCCGTGTGGGTGAACAACCGTAGCGTCTGGATCGAGCCCCTTGGTCACTGGGGGAAGTGTCTCTTTGGCTGGGGATGAGGAGGGTATTAGATACAGTTTGAGCTGAATTATCTTCTTTGGTTTGAACAGCTTTCTGCTCTGGTGCTGGAGTGAGAGGCTCAACTTGCTGCTTCTTTCTGCAAAAGAACACAATCGTTTATTTGTCGATAAGAGAGTAACACTTGTTTTAAATTAATTTGTAAGATAGTATCTTGTAAAAGTGAAGCAAAAATGAGCATAAGTGACACTGAATTTCATCTATCTCTCAGAAACAGAGCAGGTAGATGCAAAACCTTTTCAAATTGAGAGATTTTTGGAGATTATATAAACAAAAGACCTGACAATGAGAATTACAGTTCATAATGGGTGCAGGTAGGTACGGTAGGTCTTTAATGTATGTCCAATGTAAATCTTCCTTATTCTTATTCTAAATGAAGAGAATGCTTCTTGCTAATACAAGGGATTTTAAGCAAACTAAATTGTGTGACGTGTTCAATGTCACATGAACAGAACGACAACAAACATTTTCTCAACATTGACAGCTCTGTGTATGTCAAAGCGTCAACTTATGTTCAGTTACGCAAAATTAGAATTGCCAAAGTGCAAGAGAAGATGGGACAAAGCAGAGGGGAAGATAGGGGAGACATACAGATGGGAAATTGAGGCATAATGTCAATATCTGTCTGTGTTGTATTTTGTCTTGTCTTTTTCTGTCTTTTGTTTCATGTTTTATTTTGAAAGGTCTTCACCTCCTGTCTTGCCTGTTTCTGTCTGTGTTGTGTTTTGTCTTGTCTAGATCTGTCTTTGCTTTTCTGTCTGCGTTGTGTTTTGTCTTTAGATCTGTCTGTGGTTCCCTGTCGTTAGTTTCCCTGGTGTGTCTTATTACCCGATTGTGTGCACCTGGTGTCCCTGTGTTTTCTCCTCCCTCCTCACCTGTGTCTTGTTTGTATAATTAGTCTTGTGTGTATTTAAGTTCTGGTTTTTCTGTCTGTCTTGGTCGGTTCGTCTTGTGTTTTGACTTGGTCTTCGGTGAGTGTTCTGTTCTGTCTTTGTTTCTAGTATAGCCTTGAAATAAAGGAGATATTTTTGACACTTTAATCTGCATTTGGGTCCTGCTTCCTGCACACACCGTAATATTACGAACCGACCTGAGATATGGGCCCAGCAGATCCGTTTGAGCAGGAACTAGTGGATTATACCTTTTCTTTGTCTGACTGCGCTCATCGATGGATAGGAGCGGTCAGGGTTCAACAGCGAGATGCTGCTTTGGCAGAAACATTCAACCTTACAATGAAGAATCAAGATTTGGTTAAATTCTTACCTGCCTGGCTTTTGGATTACCTCACGGTTTGTTTTCCCGATCCTGATAGACCCAGGTCTCCCAATTCCCCTTTTGATACCACACGCATCGGTGTGGTCCGTCTGGCGTCAGCCCCTGCTTCTCACCCAGTGTTTGCTACAGTCCAGGAGCCATTCGCTGGTGCTCGTCTGGCTTTTGGAGGTCCACGGAGCCTCCAAACGGCTCCTAAAAGAAGGAGTCGCAAGGCCAGGTTAGCAGCACGAGCCCAAAGTGCCATAGTTCCAGCCCCAGTTCTGGCCCCAGCAGCCATGGTTCCAGCCCCAGTTCTGGCCCCAGCAGCTATGGTTCCGGCCCCAGTTCTGGCCCCAGTAGCCATGGTTCCAGCCCCAGTTCTGGCCCCAGCAGCCATGGTTCCGGCCCCAGTTCTGGCCCCAGCAGCTATGGTTCCGGCCCCTGTTCTGGCCCAGCAGCCATGGTTCCAGACCCAGTTCTGGCCCCAGCAGCCAAGGTTCCGGCCCCTGTTCTGGCCCCAGTAGCCATGGTTCCAGCCCCAGTTCTGGCCAATTAAATTCTGGCTCCAAAGCCGGCCCACACAGCCATGATCCAGGCTTCAGCTCCTGACCTTATAGCCATGTTTCCAGCTCCAGAACTGGATCTTACAGCCATGTTTCCGGCTCCAAAACCGGCCCATGCAGCCATGATTCCGGCTCAAGTACTGGGCCCAGCAGCCATGGTTCCGGCCCCAGTTCCAGCCATGGTTCCGGCTCAAGTACCGGCCCCAGCAGTCATGGTCCCGACTCCGGCTCCTCGTCACCTGTTGACTCATCGACCGACGCCAGATCCCCGAGTCCTGTCGGCATACCGGCCGACTCCAGCACCTCGTCTCCTGCTGGCTCTCCAGCCAACACCAGCTCCCCGAGTCCTGTCGGCGTACCGGCCGACTCCAGTACCTCGTCTCTTGTTGACTCTCCAGCCAACGCCAGCTCCCCGTGTCCTGTCGGCGTACCGACCGACACAAGTTCCCTCTCTAGTCCCCTCTCAAGTTCCTACCCGAGTCCCCTCTCAAGTTCCTACCCGAGTCCCCTCAAGTTTCCTCTCAAATCCCCTCTCGAGGCCCCTCTCAAGTTTCCTCTCGGGTACTCTCTCGAGTTCCCTCTCAAGTCCCCTCTCGAGTTCCCTCTTGAGTTCCCTCTCAAGCCCTCTCTCTCGAGTCCCCTCTCAAGTCCCCTCTCGAGTCTCCTCTCGAGTTCCCTATCGGGTCCCCTCTCAAGTCACCTCTCGAGTCTCCGTTCAAGTTCCCTCTCGAGATTCCTTTCAAGTCACCTCTCGAGTCAACTCTCAAGTTTCCTCTTGAGTTCCCTCTCAAGCCCTCTCTCGGGTTCCCACTCAAGTCCCTACTCATGTGCTGTTGGAGGTCCCGCAGACTACTCTTCTGCCGGGGGTCCTGCCAACCCCATGTCCTGAGCCGTTGGAGGTCCCGCAGACTGCTCTTCTGCCGGGGGTCCTGCCAACCCCATGTCCTGTGCCGTTGGAGGCCCCGCCGACTACTCTCCTGCCGAGGGTCCTGCCAACCCTGTGTCTTGTCCCGTTGGAGGCCCCGCCGACTACTCTCCTGCCGGGGGTCCTGCCAACCCTATGTCCTGTCCCGTTGGGGGTCCCGCCGACTACTCTTCTGCCGGGGGTCCTGCCAACCCTATGTCCAGTGCCGTTGGAGGCCCCGCCGACTACTCTTCTGCCGGGGGTCCTGCCAATCCCTTGTCCTGTTCCGTTGAAGGTCCCGCCGACTACTCTTCTATCGGGGGTCCTGCCAACTCTATGTCCCGTGCCTTTGGAGGTTCCGCTAGGGATCCTGCCAGCTCTATGTCCAGTCCAGTTGGAGGCCCCGCCATCTCCTGTCCTGCCTGGGGTACTGCCAACCCCTTGTCCAGTCCAGTTGGAGGCCCCGCCATCTCCTGTCCTGCCTGGGGTACTGCCAACCCCTTGTCCAGTTCCGTTGGAGGCTCCGCCATCATCTGTCTCCTGTTCGGCCGACACCGGGTCCTGCCCGGCCTCCGGAGCGGTTTGGCCTTCGCCCCACCCTGAACTCTGCCTTGCCCCCGGGCCGTCCGCCCGAGTCCCCCTTTTTGAACTCTGCCTTGCCCCCGGGCCGTCTACCCGAGTTCCCCTTTTTGAACTCTGCCTTGCCCCCGGGCCGTCCGCCCGAGACCCCATCCTTGATCTCTGCCTTGCCCCATGGGCCGTCCGCCCGAGACCCCTTCCGGGTCCTCTGCTGTCAGCCCAAGCCCGTCCTCCAGACCCCCTCCACCCACCCTGTTGGCCTTAGTTTTGTGTCCCTCCTCCGGTCCCCCTCCACCCACCCTGTTGGATTTTTTTTTGGGACGTCTGGGATCCGTCCCTTGAGGGGGGGGGGGGGTACTGTCAAGATCTGTCTGTGTTGTATTTTGTCTTGTCTTTTTCTGTCTTTTGTTTCATGTTTTATTTTGAAAGGTCTTCACCTCCTGTCTTGCCTGTTTCTGTCTGTGTTGTGTTTTGTCTTGTCTAGATCTGTTTTTGGTTTTCTGTCTGCGTTGTGTCTTGTCTAGATCTGTCTTTGGTTTTCTGTCTGCGTTGTGTTTTGTCTTTAGATCTGTCTGTGGTTCCCTGTCGTTAGTTTCCCTGGTGTGTCTTATTACCCGATTGTGTGCACCTGGTGTCCCTGTGTTTTCTCCTCCCTCCTCACCTGTGTCTTGTTTGTATAATTAGTCTTGTGTGTATTTAAGTTCTGGTTTTTCTGTCTGTCTTGGTCGGTTCGTCTTGTGTTTTGACTTGGTCTTCGGTGAGTGTTCTGTCTTTGTTTCTAGTATAGCCTTGAAATAAAGGAGATATTTTTGACACTTTAATCTGCATTTGGGTCCTGCTTCCTGCACACACCGTAACACATAAACAGATACAGCAAACTAACTTGTCAGCAAATTAAACTCGTTATCACTACAGTGATTCATAACTGTGCATGCAAAACTGTATAAAGTTTTGAAGATGCCAAAGAGGTCATAGCCCACGTAAGCAGATGAAGCCAACTTACATGGTGGATCTCTGATCAGACTTGGGGCGTCCGCAGCGGAGATCTTCGTTAATGTGATTGGAGCGAGCCTTGAGTCGTGCTCGCTCCAGAAGAAGCTTGGCTTGCTCATGTCTTGGGCTCAGAGGGAGTTCGTCACTGATTGCAAGAAGCGACCTGACAATCATGAGAAAGATGCAAATTAGTAAAGTCATCCATCATTCTGGGTGATGAAAAACAGCAAGGCAAAAGGAATGAGTAAAATTAAGTGAGTGATGAAATGATGGACCTCTGTTTGAGTGAACATTTATATTTGTTGAAGTTTAATTGTGCAAAGCTGATTGTATGTGGTGAATCCAGCCACGTTATATACCCGGCAGATTGACTTAACATGGAGTGAATGAAGCTGCGTCTTCCTAAGCTGTTTTATGTAATATCAGATTTATAGTCAGGGGCGTGGCACTAGTGGTGAGCAGCAAAGAGAAACGTCATCCTATCATCTATCCTTATGCCCAGCAGCTAAGCTGCTCTGCATTGTGCTTCATCGTCTCTGCTTGTGTTTATCCCCTGGCCTAGTGATAAAGATAGCATGATACACCAGCCATGTGGATTACCCTTGTAATGGACAGTGTGATTCATTTCTCTTGTGTGTCAAGAGGAGACAAACATTCAGTTTCAATAGATCACAGTTTGTCATGTCATTTTTTATTCTTACACAAAAACATCAGCAGCCTGATTCTGTTTTGTCTCATGCTCAGCCTTTTTATTCTTCAGTTTATTATGATAATGACAAGAATGATCTATACTCTATAATAATTATAATAGCCGGAAGATCAACTGAAAAGGGTGGATCAAATGAACAATTCAACCTCTTAACAAATTGTTTTTATCACTCAGTTGCACAAACTGTTTGATGTTTGATTTACTTACAGATCTATCTACTCTGTTTTATTTAATTAACATAAGACTGTTACTCTATCTGATGTCTTACATTCAATGATTACAATGTTTGGAGACAAAATCTCTATTTTGAAGTATCACAGTTTGCCAATATCTCACAATAAGAGCTTAATTTCCTAGTGTTTTTATGATAATATATGAGCTTCTTAATATACAGTATTGGACATTTCTTTATGGATGTATTTTATATGATTTATAACATATTTGTTTGATACTTTAGCTGCTTCAAATCAAGAGAAAACTGGACTCTAAATTCCCACAAGATGAGCTGTAAAAACTGAATTTATGAGGGGAGGATATACAGTATATGGTCCATAGGAGTGGTATGTCATTACAGTTGCCAAGCACATAAAGAAGCTTTGCACTGCTCACCTCAGATAGGGTTCGAGTGTCTGCACAAAAATGGCTGAGTCTGAGCTGCCCAAACCCCCATGGGCCCCTGCAACTGGCAGAAAAAACATTCAGAAAAATACATATCACAGCAAAAGGAAATGAATCAAATGTGGATAAAAAAAGGCTTTAAAAGTATTCAAAGAGGTAATGCCCATTATTTTGTGTTTTAGCTTACCTCTACATTTATATAATAGATCCTATTATGATGTAGCATAATCTTATAACTTAGGGTTTGGTTCTTATTTAGTGTCGTGTAGTGGTAGATTTATGGGAACATACTGTCAAGAGAGCCATCAGCCATAATGTGACCCACAGGATTATGTGGGTATTAAACCAATTGGATCTTTGTATGATCATGTTGATTGTCATAAACCTTCATACCGTTAGATGCAGTGTAATGGCAACTTTAATGTTGTAATGTCCTATATTCGTTTATTGCCAGGGAACTGGATGTCGGATAACACAGCAGTGGTTTGCCAAAGGGCATTACTGTATTTGGATAAGGAGGGTGAAAGTGAGAGCACCTGAAATTAAAGGCAGGGGAATATTTCCTCCTCCTTTATTCACAAGACATGCACAGAAGCCCCAGGATGAGATCTGGCTGGGTTAAAGGATTCCTTCTGGCCTTTGCAATGGCTGGGTCTCTTCTTTACCTTGGCTCCATGAAGAAGGAGGTTCATACCCACTCATAGAGACTCAGTAGAGCCCACCGCAACAACTCCATCAGGGGTCAGGGAATACCCAACAGGATGGACAATATGAAAACAGACATCAACAGACTGCCCAATGTGATGAATAAACTTGAAAAGAAGGAACTGGTGAACCAGAACAACGCAGAGGTGAAGAAGGAGAGTAGCGTGGTGAGGAAGCTCTACCCCAACTCTCATCCGTTCACCAAGCCCTGGTGAAGAGAGTCCGTCACTCTGAGCGGCTCGGCCTCACTCAGGTCAGACTCTCTGGGTGGAAGGTTGCTGTGGGGGAAGTGGTGGCCATCTTGGATGCTCAGAAGTCAGAAGTCCATGTTGAATGGGCAGAGTCAATGTTTGCTCGGATCAAAAAGGACCGCACCGTGATACTGACAGCAGTGTTTGACAAAGTAAATTACGACGACATGAAACTTATCCCCTACATACCAGCTGCGGATGCCTTTGACTGAGCTCTGTGGTGCATGTACGAGTCCTTCAGACCTGAGTGGTATGCTTTAAAGGACGACTCACTGCCTGGAAAGAGCCCCGCCATCACAGGGATTGTTGTAGCTGATCGCAAGTTCTTTGGAGATATCGGAAGCCTCGATGGTGGAATGAAAATATACGGCGGTGAAAATGTGGAACTCTGCATCCGGGTGTGGCTGTATGGAGGAAGCATAGAGGTTATTCCTTGCTCTAAAATTGCCCACATTGAACGCAGTGGCGTTTTCTCCCGGAGGCCAAGGGAAGCCAGGCTTCCCCTGTTTTTTAGGATTGTAGTTATAACTTAAATAAATAAATAAAAACACTTTGTTTTGTTTCTGTAATTCTACTTTCCTGTGTGTTCCTGCCGGACCGTCTCTCCGTCTCTCCCCCATTCTCATTGAGTATTTTACAAAGAGTGAAACAGCGCCCCTCTAGATGTCATGGTGAAACAGTAGATTGCATTCACTGTTGCGAGAGGAGGCCAGCAGAATCTAGCTTCCCTTGGTGAAAAAAAATTGAGGGATTAACCAATCAGATGAGTCCCACGTGATGCCCCTGCCAACCTGTGATTGGTCAGGGCCATGCCAGGGGAAGCCAGCCGCCTCTAGCTTCCCTTCAGGGGCGGCTGGCGGCTGGCGGCTGGCGGCTGGCGATTTGATTGGACACTGCCATCCAATCACATCAACATCAATTTTAATACTGTAACTGTCATCACCGCCGTTAGAAATTATCAAGCAAATGAAGCATTATGGAGGGAGGAGATTTGGCGTACTTAATTAAGCATAACTTCACTAAACTTCCGCTACAGCAGCAACTAAAAATTAAAGCAGATGGCAGGACAACGCCCACACTCGAGCTGTGTACACAGAGGAATAAGGGATCTAATCGGACGTTCAATGAGGACAATTATGTCCGCACGGAGTGGCTAACTGGAAGCGCTAAACTTCAGCGTCTATTTTGCTGGCCATGTCTTCTTTTTGACAAGGGTTCGTGCTCCCTGAACAATCCTTGGGCAACTTCAGGATTCATCGACCTTGCCAACCTGTCACGGGCAATTGAGAGTCACGGTAAATCTAAAAATCATATAGATTGTGCTGTGAAATTAAAGCTTTTTGGACGCGTCAGGATTGACGAGGCTCTGGATGTAGCAAGAACCATTAGCACAAAGAAGCACAACGAACAAGTAAAAAAGAACCGGGATATTCTGAGGAAACTCATCATTGCTGCCCTGTACCTTGCACGTCAAGAGCAAGCATTCAGGGGACACAATGAGGCCGCTGGCAGCTCTAACAGGGGCAATTTTGTAGAGCTGGTACGTGCATTTGCAGAGTTTGACACTGCACTCGCGGAGCACTTGGGATCGTCAACAGTCTTCAGTGGTATGTCAAACACCATACAAAATGACATAATTGAGAGCATAGCTCGTTGTATCCAGGATGAGACTGATAAAGAAATACACATTTCTCCTTTCATTGCTGTACAAGTGGATGACACATCAGACATCTCCAATAAGTGCCAACTCACTATCATAATCAGATATGTGAATGAAAAAGGCAGTGTGTGTGAACGTTTCCTCGGCTTTTTTGATGTCAGCTTAGAAAGAGATGCAAAAGCTGTAACATCAGTTGTCATGAGAGCCATCGGGAACTACAGCCCAACAAACAAACTGATTTGTCAGACTTATGACGGAGCAAGCTGCATGAGTGGACAGCACGGTGGCGTTCAGGCTTTAGTGAAAGCACACTGCCCCAATGCGCTATTCATCCACTGCTATGCTCACAAATTAAATTTGGTTTTAGCACAAGGCACAAACAACATCCAAGCAGCCAAACTGTTTTTTTGCCAATCTCGATGCCTTCCACAATTTTTTCTCACGTTCATGTAAGAGATCAGCACTACTGTCTGAAGTTGATCGAGCTGTGCGTGTACCAGGGGGTTCTGCTGTGAGGTGGAATTTTAAAAGCCGCGCAGTACACGCCATCCATGAAGGACGCGGGTCGCTCTGTATCGCTTTTGACAGGATAATGACAGAGCCGGGATGGGACAAAGAGACCATTGCACAGAGTGCTTCCTTGAAGCAAAAACTTGAGGATTTTGACTTCACCTTCCTGCTCGGGGTCTTTCAGTCCATTTTCGGCCTCACAGAACCACTCTTCCAGGTTCTGCAAAGCAAGACGGCGGACATCAAAAAATGCCAGGATCGGATCATGAGCACTCTCAGCGCTCTCAAAGCCACAAGAACAGATGAGACATTCAGTCGCATTTACGATGACACGGTCAAAGCAGTCGGCGATCCTGTGCCCCGACGTAAACGACGTCGCCGCGGCTGGGACGACCTGGAGCAAGGGTTTAACCAGCACCAAGAAGGAGACGAGGAAACGGTTGTATCTTTCCGGCGTCTTTACTTCCAGATTGTTGATGGCATAGTGTTGCACATGACCCAAAGATTTGCAGATATGGAGCACCTGCACTTTTTTCGGATACTGGAACACACATCATTCATATCGTTCTGCAACCCTGATGCATTTCCCAGCAGTGAGCTGGCTCAGCTGATCAACACGTATCCATTCTTTGATGAGCAGAAGTTAAGGAATGAGCTGCACACGCTGTACAACAACAGGTTGTTTCACAAGCCACCAGGAGAGCTGATACAGCTTCTTATTGAGGATGACCTACAGGGCACACTCTCCGAGGTCTACAAGCTGCTCCAGCTCATGCTCACGATACCAGCCACCAGCACATCAGCAGAGCGCTCCTTTTCCTGTCTAAAAAGGATCAAAACGTATCTGAGGAACACGTGTGGACAGGACAGACTTGTCAACCTAGCCACAATATCCATTGACTCTGTTGTTGTGGAGGACCTAAAGGCCGCTGGGAAGTTCTATGACATTGTTATTGACCACTTCGCTACCATGAAAGACAGGAGAATGGCCTTCCTCTTCAAATAGGGTGAGTGAAATGCACACCCCTTTCTCTCTGTGCATACCTGTTGCCTGACCTGCCCGTGTAGCTATGTGTGCAATTTCTGATGTGGTTCTGTTGGTTATTGTGCATTGCTTGCCTGGATTTAGCTGCAGGTGTTCAGTCTGAAGTAGTTGTTTTATTGCAGTTGTTTAATTAGCACAGGGTGCTGCTATCCGAAAATCAGCACCGCAGATAGCATGCCATATAGGGCCCGATCACCTGAATAGATGAGATTGTTTATATTTTTGTGTTACTTTTGGACTACGGACTGAACTAATTACAGAGACGAGGACTGTTGCTGCACTTGCCGTGTGTGTTAGTGTAACAGATGTAAATATGCAGTGGGGTTTATTTAATTTAATTTTGTATAATCACACACATTCTGTGTTTTATATTATTGTATTCTGTGTTCTTCATTTTATTGAATGTTAAATACCTGGCAAGGTCGGAGAGCTGTGCTCAGGAGTTTATTGTTGTGAGGACTTTCATTTCCTTTCTTTGTGATTTTACTTTTTGTATATATTGTGTCCCTCACGTTTCCTCTTCCCTTTTTGTAAACGTTCCAAGCAATGAGAGGAGTCACTGAGGGAAATGTATTTAAAACTGATCATTTTATCTGTTATCAGATTCAGACATTAAACAGAGATCGTCTCAACTTTACGCTGACTCGGCGGGTCTCGTCCATTATCAACACAACGCATACTGATACTTTGATGTGAACGTAAAACTTTAAAGGTCTCCTGATTTAGTTTGTGAATGAATGCTTCTTATTTATTAATTACCGAATCTGCACTGCGCATTGAGCGGCTGGTATTGCATTGGTGGGGGGAAGTTGGCATAAATTAATAAGAAAATGCTTAAATTAATAAGACGAGAGAGTTTCAGCTGGAGAGTGCGTGCGGACCTGTCACTTAGA